AAAGCCTCCTCCTGCTCCTCCTCCTCCTGTCCTCCTCCTCCTCCTCCTGTCCTCCTCATGCTTCTCCTCCCTCCTCCTCCTCCTCCTCCTCCTGTCCTCCTCCCCCTCCTCCTTTTCCTCCTCCTCCTCCTTTTCCTCCTCCTCCTCCTTTTCCTCCTGGCCTCCCTGCCGCAGCGTCCCTCGGGGGCACCCTGTGGTGGCGCCCGAGCCCGCCCGCCCGCCCGCCGAAGGCCTTCTCACCTGGCCTCCCTGCCGCGGCGTCCCTCGGGGGCACCCCGGGGGTGGTCGCGCGGGGGCCTCTGAGGGGCGTGCCCGGCTGTTGCATTGAGTCGGGCCTGTCCCCATACAGTGGGATCTTCGACGAAAAATCAAAGGTACCCCAAGAGTCGTCAGAAATAGTCCAAAAATAGTCTGGGGACTATTTTTTGAATATTTTTTGAACCTTTTTGGGATATTTCTAGAGTATTTTTAATTTTTCGTCGACAATCCCCCTGTAGGGGGACACGCCCGACATAACTGTTGCATTCAAAAACCAGCTTTATGAATTCAGGAACCAGCTTTCTGAACTGAGAAGCCCCATTCTGAATTCAGAAGCCAGCTTCTGAATTCAAAAGCCTGTTTTCTTGAATTCGGCGACCAGTTTTGTGAATTCAGAAGCCATTTTTGAGTTCAGAGACCAGTTTTTTGGAATTCAAAATCCAGCTCCACCTGGCGCGCTCCAGCGATCGGACAAGAGAAAGCGCCATACACAGAAATCTTTGGCGCTCCGCGCGGGTTTCTTGGATCGGCGTTGGGAGCCCCGTGGCGGCGCCTCCGGCGCCGCCCCTGGCGCGCTCCGCGCGCCGGGGATGGGGGGTCCAGCGCAGATCCAAGAAATCCGCGCGGAGCGCCACAAGCTTCTGTGTATGCCGTTTCTTTTTCTTCTTCTTCTTCTTCTCCTCCTTCTCCTTCTTCTTCTTCTTCTTCTTCTTCTAAGACAGGCCCCCGCCTTCGAGTGTCGAAGGCTTGGGCATCTCTGCCTCCGTGGAGGGCGCCGGAAGGTTGGCCTCGGGCGACGGGAGAAGCAAAAGCGGGCCACCTCCGTGGCCGGAAGCTGGCGGAAGGCCGGCGGAAGCTGGTGGAAGCAAACGGTGCACCCCCAAGAGAAGTCGCCTCTGGCCCATACAGTCGGGGCCCTGAAGAAGGAACCCTTTTCGTTTGGGAGGGGCTCCGTGTTCCTTGATTGCTTCACAGTTTGCCTTGGGTTTTCCTTTGGTTTTCGATGGGAAATCGGAGTTTAACTTGTGGGAGAAGGGGGCCCCGTTCCTTATTTATCGTTCCTTAGGTCAACGCCCCGACTGTATGGCCGTGGGTCGTCTGGGCAAGGCCTCACGGCGTGCTCACACGCGGGTCTCGCCTCAGGCCAAAGGTATCCCCCCCCCCAGGCCTCACATCTGCTCGCGCCCCTTGAGTGGTTCACGAAGGCCTGGTCCGCAGTCTTCCTCTTTTCGGGGCCTCGGTCCGAGGTCTTTATCCTGAGGCACTCTATCGGACCGCTGGTGCTGCTCCGCTCTGCTCTGCTCTGGCAACATTTTGGGGCTCAGGGTTTCTGCACCACGTCACCAGGCAGAGTAGGGGATGTAACTTCTGGGAGGTTTCAGAATCGGCGCTGGTTCCTCCCTTGTCGAAAAGTTGCCGAATCTGGTCTTCTCCCGCTAAATCTGATTTAATCCTGGGCTTAGCCCAGCCCGATCCGGCTCAGTGCTCCTTCAATCGGGTTTAATAGTAATCCTCACCAGTTTGACGAAGACCTCCCAGAAGTTGCCTCCTTCCTCCTACCCCCCCTCCCTCCCGCCACCTGGGCGACCCAGAAAGACGGGGTCGCCTTCGCCGACGCTGGCGCGTAAGCTGCCCGCGTGAGGTCGCGCGTGAGCCCCCTCGTCTCCAATTGTGGCGCGCTGCTCTGGCGGTCCGCGCGAGCCACCGCGTGAGGTCGCCGTGCCATCTCGCGTGAGACCCGCTTCTTCTCGACGCCGACCTGGCAGAGCCAGCGCCACGAGCCCCCCCTCTCCTCGACCACTTCCCCGGGACCAACTCTTCACCCCGCGTCGTTCTCGACGATCCCGATCGGACGACCCCGAGGCCAGGTGGGGGGCTCCGAGGGGTCGGAGACGAAGCAAAGCCTTCGCGCCTAGATTTGTTTCCCGCGACGCCAGGCGTCTGGGGCCCCGCCTAATTGATTAGCCGGCAGAGCCGAGCGGTTGTCGGCCACGCGCGGCGCGCAGCGGGGGGCAGCCGCGCGCAGAGGGGGGCAGCTTCTCGGACGGGGGGGGGGAGGAGGAGGAGGAGAGGAGGAGGAGGAGGAGGAGGAGAGAGGAGGAGAGGAGGAGGAGGAGGAGGAGGAGGAGGAGGAGGCCTCTCTGTCTGAGCAGCCTATCCCCCCTCGCCCTCTGCCCCCCTGCGCGCGCCGCCAGGGGAGGCTCGGGCCGGGCCCGGGACGTGGCAGGCCTGGGGGCTGGGAAGTGGGTAGCGTGTCGCGTCGCCAATGTGAAGGCGGGCGTGTCCCCCCTACCGGAGGAGTGTTCAAAAATAGTGAAATTATCCCAGTGCGACCCTACCTAGGAGTTGGAGCCTCGAAAGCAACATTAGCAATAGTGGATGCTGTGCTGCGCTATGCTATGCTCTGCCCTGCTCTGCTCTGCTCTGCTCTGCTCTGCTCTGCTATGATATGCTATGCTATGCTATGCTATGCTGCGCAATGCTATGCTGGGCTAGGCTATGCTATGCTATGCTATGCTATGCTATGCTATGCTATGCTATGCTATGCTATGCTGCGATGTACTATACTATACTATACTATGCTATGCTATGCTATCTATGCTATGCTTTTGTTTTGCCTTCGCTTTTGCATTTGCTTTTGCTTTTGCTTGGCACCCAGGGAGCGCAACTGGGGGAACCGCGCGTTTGCTTTTACCTTTGCTGTCGCTTTTGCTTGGCTCCCAGGGGACTGGGAGAACCGCCCGGGGCGCTTTCCACTGCCCGACCCCTTTAAGTCAACAGAGTAAGAATCCTTCTAGGCAGAGCCTAGGTAGGGAAAATAGTTTTGGGACGATTTTTCAGATATCTTTGTCCATTTTTGAATCCGCAAAATATTCAAAATAGTAGAACAAATAGTCAGGGAACTATTTTAGATTTCCGCCCCAAATCCGCCTGTTGGGGGGACACGCCCGACCTAACGGATAGCGTGTCGCGCCGCCAGTTCCGGCCCACCGCGCTTCCTTGCGCGACCCGCTGCCCCCTTCGCGGTCCCCGGGCGTTCACGCGCCGAGCTCTTCCGAGCCTCTCGGCTCGCGGTGCGGGCTCGACACGCGGCCCGCTCGCAGGGCACAGCGCGCCGCCAACACCCGGCAGAGCCGAGCTTGGCCGAGGCCTCTCTGGGGCGTCTCGGGTGCCTGTGCTGGGGGGCCTCTCGGGCGCACCCTGGGGGCCTCTCGGGAGCCTCTCGGGTGGGGCCTCTTGGGGGCCTCTCTCTCGGCGGCTCCTTGGGGGGGGGCCTCCTGGGCACCGCTGGGGGGCATCTTGGGGCACCCTGGGGAGCCTCGGGTTCCGTCCTGGGGCCGTCTTGCGGGGCCGCTCGAGGAGCCGCGCGGGCGCCCGCGGACGAGCCGGCGGGCCAGCCGGGGCCGGCCGAGGCCTCAAGCGCCCTCGGCCCGCCGCCGCCGGTGCCGGCGGGCGCGGCGGTGGCCCGCCCGGGCAGCGGCGGGAGCACCGAGAGCGGCGGCAGCGCGGGCACGGTGGAGCCTCGGGGCGGCAGAAGCGTTTCGGGATGGAGGAGGAGGAGGAGGAGGAGGAGGAGGAGGAGGAGGAGGAGGAGGAGGAGGAGGAGGAGGAGGAGGAGGAGGAGGGGGGCTGGCCGTGGGGAAAAAAGGCCTGGGGCTTCCGGGGGGGCCCGCCTCGTCGGGAAGCTCGCGGCGCCGGAGGGGGCTGGGGGGCCCTCTTCCCGCCCCTTCGCTGCGACCCCTGTGGGAGTAGGGTCAGGTCGGGCATCAAAGGTAGTCAAAGAATCGTCTGGGGACGATGTTTTCACTAGTTTGACCATGTTTCAATATTCGGTTGCTTATGATATTCTTAACTCCCCGCCCCAGGGTCCGCCTGTAGGAGGACATGCCCGACCTATCAGTGTGTAGGGGAGAGGGGGGCGTGCGTGGTCGCGAGCGCGCCCCTGGCAGCCCACAGGCGGGTGTATAGCCAGGACCCCGGGTAAGGGGACCCGGTCCAGTGGTATAGGGGGCCCCTCAATTGGCCAGATTCACTAGACCAGGTTTGCCGCAACTGGTGATCTTCGGGCGACGGCAGCTCCGGTCCGCGGCACGGGGCGGGGGGGGCGCCCCCCGGCACACAATCCCTGAAAACCAGGTCCCACCGAACCCCGTTCCGCCAACGCCCGATCGCAGGACCTGCTCTCCCGGGCGCCCTCGCGGGCCTCCGCGCACCTGGGGGCCGTGGCCGCGGCAGTGGCGGAGGCCGCCGTGGGCGCCGCGCGCGCCTCGGCCGACGGGCCGGCGCCGCGAGCGCCGGCGCCAGCCTCGGCGGCTCGGGCGGCCCGCCCTGCCGGCGGAGAGGAGCCTCAAGTCGGGCGCGTGTCCCTCCACATGAGGAACAGTCCAACCCAGTCATGACATGGTCGGGGGACGATTTTTTTAAAAGTATTTGTGCCAAGCTTCTTTTCATTGCATATTTTTCGGAGGTTGATCGATCTCTTACCCGGGAAACGTCGATTAGCGAATTGGCCGTTTTCGGTGCGCGAGCGGGCGTCGCGGCCGTCATTTTTGCGGGTCCAGGTTCGTCGGTTTCGGTCCAGGGTCGTTTTCACTAACGGGAGCTTTGTCCACCGCCGATTTTGACTACTTTAAATTTTTCGGCCTGCATGGGGGACGTGCCCGACCTGCGAGGAGCCCGCCGAGGCACCGCCGGGCGCGGCCGCCGACGACGCCCCCGCCGCGCCGCGGGAGCCGCGGGAGGCGCCGGCCCGCGAGCAGGGCGCGCCCGGCTCCGCGAGGGGGCCTCCTGCGCAGCAGGCCGCGCAGGGCCTGCCGCAGCAGGGCGGCGCGCCCGCCCGCAGTGAGGTCAGGGGCAGCGATATAGGGGGGGGGATAGCCCAATCGCCTCCTCCTCTTCTTCGGCCCTCCTCCTCCTCCTCCTCCTCCTCCTGCTCCTGCTCCTTCTCCTGCTCCTGCTCCTCCTCCTCCTCCTCCTCCTCCTCCTCCTCCTCCTTCCCCCCCCGCCTCCTCCTCCTCCTCCTCCTGCTCCTCCTCCTCCTTCTCCTCCTCCTCCTCCTCCTCCTCCTCCTCGCTCCTCCTCCTCCTCGCTCCTCGAGGGAGGAGGCACGCTTGGATCAACGATAGGAGGGGATAGGTCAGGGGCAACGGCGGGGGCAGCGATAGGGGGCAGATGTGTCGACCCCCAATCGCCCACTGTTCCACTGTGGGGGTCTGGTGGCCCCAGCCCGCCCAGGGAGGTGCGGAGTCGCTACGACGGCTACGGGGGGCCTACCGCCGAGCTGTCGGCGGTGTGTCGCCGATTCCAGGTCGATGCGCCCCCCCCGTGTGCCAGATCCCCCCGTAATCGTTGCCCCCCATGAGGGCGCTGCCCGCGGCGGGCTCGAGGAGGCGGAGGGGGCGAGCCGTGGACCCAGACCCCCTCGAGTCAAGAACAAAATCACGACGGGAGGTTTCTCGCCATCTTCGGCCCCTGGGGGGCCCTCGCGGGGCCTCGGGATCCCGTCAACATTTGAGCGACTCAGGACGGGAAGCCGGCCAGGAGCAATGGGCCGAGAACTCTGGGGGCCGACGTCATGAGCAGATCATGACGTCGGGGGTCTGGGAAGGGCGGAGAGCCGGCGGCTGCGCCCTCGGAGGCGCCCTCGGCGGAGCGGGCCGCCGGGGTGCCGGAGGAGTTCTGCAGGGTGGAGGCGCCGGCGCAGCAGGCCGCTCCCGCGACGAGCGGTGCCCGGGGGCAACGACAGGGGGGGGGAGGGGCACAGGGGGGAAAACACAGTGACACCCAATCGCCCGTTGATCGCCGATAGGGGCCAGGTAGCCTCCCCCGCCCAGGAAGGGTCGGGTTCACGATCGGGGGCCCCTGGCCGATCTATCGAGGATGTATCGCCGATTCCAGGTCGCTGCATCCCCCCCCCTGTGCCTATCCCCCCCTGTCGTTGCCCCTCAGGTACCGAAGTCGTCGGGCACGTGCGTCGTGACGTCGCGATGAGGCCGCTGGAGTCGGCCAGTGACGGCAGCTTGGAGGTTGCCGCCGGCGCCTCTCTCGAGGCCGCAGTGGCAGCGACGGCACGCACTGGGGCTGGGAACCCGCCTTCTACTCATAGCTGTCTCCCTGGGGTCGGGCTCGGTGCGCAGCTTTCCGACGTTTTCGAAGCTCTGAGAGTCAATATGCCGCGTCAGTTCTCCAGAGGGTGGGGGGGTGGAAGCGCCCGCCAATCTAAACATGGACCTTCCCTGAGGGCGCCTCATATGCTCCTCCAGTTGTAAAGCGGGCCGCATAGCATCACTCTCATGCTTCGACGCTCCCGACAAGCCCTGCAGTGACTGCTTGGAGGGGTCCCACCATCCTAGGGTCATCAACCTCTGCGTTTGGGAGGGGGGAGGACGACCTTCCACGCTGTCTGGGAGGGCAGCTCTTGCGCCCCCGAAGAAGGCCGATGCCGGGGAAGCCTCGCCGAGTGCGCCGAGGGGCCTCGGCAGGAGCGGCACTGGCGGCCCTGCCCTGCAGACCTCGCCGCGCCCGAGCGGACACCCCGATGCCGCCGCCTCCTCTGAGGATGCTGCCCGCACCGCGCAGGCTGGCCCCGACGCTGGCGCTGCCGCCGAGGGCACCCTGCCCGCGGAGGCTGCGGCTGCGGGCCCACTGGCCCCGGGCGGCAGCCCCCACGCCGCTCCTCCGCCCGATGGTGCCCGCGCTGCGCAGGCCGCCCACGACGGTGCTGGCGCCGCCGAGGTCAGCGTGCCCGCCCCGGTGGCCTCGTCGGCCCCGCCCGGCAGCTCCCATGACGCTGCTCTGCCCGACGGCGCCCTCGCCGCGCAGGCCGTCCTCGACGCTGGCGGCGCCGCAGAGGTCAGCGTGCTCCCGCTGGTGGCCTCGCCTGTCGTGGGCGGGAGCTCCCGTGACGCTGCTCTGCCTGGAGGTTCTCTTGCCACGCGGGCCGCCCTGGACGATGGCGGCGCAGCAGAGGCCGCCGCGCCCGCGGCTGGCGTGGGAGATCAGTTGCCGCCCCCGAGCGGTCGCTCGAGCGGTGATGGTGCTTCGACGATTATCGCCTGCGCGACCGAGGACTTCGACGACCGCGACAGGACCGCGGCCGCCGTGGTGGAGGCGGCCGCGGAGGCCGCCACCGCGGCCGTCCATGTGGGGGCCCTGTGCGGCACCCCTGCGGCAGACGCGCCTGGCGATGGGGCTTCTGATCCCAGCTCGTTGACCGACAGCCCATCCGGCATGGGGCCTCCGGCTCCATCCGGCAAGGTTGATCCCATGCAGAGGGATCCAGGGCAGATGCCCGCTGCCACCGAGGCGGGCCTCAGCACCGCTATCCCGGAGTCGGGCCCTGTGCAGTCGGCGCTCGCGCGCGAGGCGGAGTCCCAGGCCGGCGGAGACTCCCTGGCCGAGGCCCCAGGCGCCCCTCTGGCGGGCTTGACTGGCTCTGGTGCCAAGCTGGCCACGCCCGGGGCGCTCGACCTCGACCCCGACTCCACCTGCGAGGGCGAGGCTTCCGCCCTGGCGCTCTCCTCTCCCGCGGCTGCTGCGGCACAGGCCGCCACTGGGCCCGCCGACCAGCCGGACGGGGGCGCCGGCGCCCGCGCCGCGCCGCAGGGGGCGGCCGACCCCCCCGAGGGGGGCGCGCAGGCCTCCGCGCGAGGCCCGCCGCACCTGGGGCCAGGGGCGCACGCAGAGGCGCCCGCCGCCGCGGAGCTGGACGCGGAGCCTGGCGCGGAGCAGCTGTGCCAGCCGGCGCGCACCACCGACCACGACGAGGCGCCCGCCGCCGCGGAGCCTGGCGCGGAACGGGGCGCGGAGCTGGACGCGGAGCAGCTGTGCCAGCCGGCGCGCACCACCGACCACGACGAGGCGCCCGCCGCCGCCGCGGAGCCTGGCGCGGAACGGGGAGCGGAGCTGGACGCGGAGCAGCTGTGCCAGCCGGCGCGCACCACCGACCACGACGAGGCGCCCGCCGCCGCGGAGCCTGGCGCGGAGCCTGGCGCGGAGCCTGGCGCGGAGCTGGACGCGGAGCAGCTGTGCCAGCCGGCGCGCACCACCGACCATGACGAGGCGCCCGCCGCCGCGGAGCCTGGCGCGGAGCCGGAGCTGGACGCGGAGCAGCTGTGCCGGCCGGCGCGCGCCACCGACCACGACGAGGCGCCCGCCGCCGCGGAGCCTGGCGCGGAACGGGGAGCGGAGCTGGACGCGGAGCAGCTGTGCCAGCCGACGCGCACCACCGACCACGACGAGGCGCCCGCCGCCGCAGAGCCTGGCGCGGAGCTGGGCGCGGGGCAGCCGCGCCGGCCGACGCCCACCACCGACTGCGACTTCCTGCCGGAGTCGGGGCCCCCCTCGCCCGAGGGCGCGCCGGCGAAGCCGCAGGCGCCTGCGGCTCCTCCTCCGGGCCGCGCGCAGGCGAGGGTACCCTCCTCTGCGCCCCCCGGCGCGCAGGCGGAGCTGCCGGCGGCCGCCGCCTCGCCACCGGGCGCGGGCAGGCGAGACGACGGCGACCGGATTTTCCGAACGGTCGAGCTCTTGAGGTGCGGGTCCCAAAGGCATGCGCCACCACCACCACCACCACCACCACCACCACCACCACCACCACCACCACCACCACCACCACCACCACCACCACCACCACCTGCATTCCCCCTGTCTCCTCCTCCCTCCTCTACCCTCCTACACCCTCCACTTCCTCTCCTCTCTCCTGGGAGAGGGAAAGGATGAGGGAGGTGCTGGTGGTGGTGTGTAGCTGTGGGCCCCGCATGAGGAGCATGCAGCCGAAGCTGCAGGCGCCGCTGGCCCTGGTGGGCAAGCCGCCAACTGGCGAGCAGCCCGTCCGGCGGGCTGCCAGGACCAGGCGGGAGACGACGGAGGACGTCGGGAGTGCAACAGCAATATGATTTCCGTCTCCACGGGAATTGCAGAAGGCAATTTGAAGAATCCGAGTCCGGTGCACGCCTGAGGGCCTGCTCTGGGCCCCAGGCCACGCGCGGCTCGATCCGGCTCGAACAACTCCCTTCGGTAGCATGGGGACTGAGGTTTCCAGACCCCCGACTCCACGTTCCCCCCCTGGCGTCGCCAGAGACTTTGGGAGGTACTGGGCATCCGTTCAATTTCGAGGGGTGTGGGGCTAACTCCGACATATGATGCGACGGGGTGTTGCGCATTTCGTCAGGCTTCTGCCTCTGTCGGGCGCTCCAGCTGTTGCCGACTTGCGCAAGCACCGGGCCCGCGACCAGCACGTTTCCGTGTTGTGCCCCCCTCTCAGGACGCGCCAGCACCAGCACTGGTGTACGATTGGCCCGTGCCCTTCGTGGACGAAGAGGGCCAGGCGACCCTGGCAGCCATGGGGCAGACGTTCGTGTACCCTCGGGGTCGAGGGGACAGCGGGGGAGGCGGGAAGGGGGGCCCTCTGCCTGCACGTTGCTTGTTGCCGCGGTGGGCCCGGGGATTGTTTTCTTCCCACGCCTCCTCGTCCTCGGCCTCGCTGATGGCGTCCCTCTCTTCCACGACGATGGTGCCGATAACGATGACGATGGCGATGCTGATTGATGCGGGTGATGATGGGTGATGATGCTGCTGCTGATGATGATGAGGATGCTGAGTTTGCTGCTGCTGCTGCTGATGATGCTGATGCTGCTGCTGATGATGATGATGATGATGATGATGATGATGATGATGATGATGAGATGCTGTTTGTGATAATGCTGCTGATGATGATGCTGCGGCTGCTGCTGCTGCTGATGATGCTACTGATCATGATGACGAGGCTGAGGAGGAAGAGGAGCAAGAGGAGTAAGAGGAGGACGAGGAGGAGAAGGAGTGGGATAATCGTGGTGATGGTGATGTTTATGATGATGATGCTGGTGATGATGGTGATGATGGTGGTGATGACGAGGAGGAGGTCGGGGGAAGAGTAGGCGGAGGATGATGAGGATGAAGAGGCTGATCAAGGTCGCAGAGGAAGGAGATGATGATGATGATGATGATGATGATGATGATGATGATGATGATGATGATGATGATGATGATGATGATGATGATGATGATGATGATGATGATGAAGATGAGCAGGATGAGGGGGGGTATGATGATGCTGCTGATGATGATGATGACGATGCTGATGCAGATGTTGATGATGAAGCTGGTGATGGTGATGATGCGGATGATGACGATGATGACTATGCCCATACTGATGCTGCTGATGATGATGCTGATTATGATACTTATGATATATCTGCTGATGCCGCTGATGATAATGTCGAGGATGACGACGATGACGATGACTGATGATGATGCTGCTGATGATGGTAGTGCTGCTGCTGCTCTTGCTACTGCTGATTATGATGGCACTGCTGATGGTGTTGTTGATGATGCTGATGCTGCTGATGATGATGATGCTTTTGATGCTGCCGCTACTGATGCTGACGATGATGATGCGGCTGGTAAGTATGATGCTTATGTTTATGATGATGATGATGATGCTGATGATGATGACGATGCTGATGTCGATAACGATGCAGCCGCTGCTGCTGATGACGATGCTGCTAATGATGATGCTGCTGATGCTGCTGCTGATGATGATGATGATGATGATGATGATGCTGATGCTGATGCTGCTGCTGCAGCTGCTGCTGCTGATGATGATGATGATGATGAGGATGATGATTATGATGATGTTGCTGATGCTGATGCGTATGGCGATTCTGCTGTTGCTGCTGCTGCTGCTGATGCTGATGATGCTGCTGTTGATGTTGTTGCGATTGCTGTTGCTGTTGGTGATGATGATGGTGCTGGTGATGATGATAATGATGCCGCTACTGCTTCTGATGATGATGCTGATTATGATGATGATACTGAGGATGGTGATGGTACTGGTGATGATGATGCTGTTGCTGATCATGCTGCTGCTGATGATGATGGTCATGCTGATGCTGATGGTCAGGCCTGGCTGCTCTGTGGAGCCTCTCTCCCGTCGAGAGGGAAGCCGGCAATTTTCGTGATGCGCTAACGCACCGGTGTGCTTTTCGGCCCGCTTTCCTTCTTCTTTGCCTGGGCCCCGGGCCCTGGCTCCTCCTTCTTCCCTCTCCTCTCCCCTCCCCCTCTCTCTCCGCGTCCTCCCTCGCCCTTGTGCTTCCTTGCCCTTGTGTAGCGTGTGCTCTCCCTCTCCCTTCCGCTTGGCTCCCCCTCCCTGTCCCCCCGTCCCCTGTCCGTCCGTTTGTCGGCCCGGTCTGTCCTTTCCTGTCGTCCTCCCTCCCTCTCCCCCTCCCCTTCTCGCTCCTCGGCTCCTCGCTCTCTTGCTCGTTTCTGCCCCTTGCCTGGCCCGCGTTTCTTTGTCGGCCTGTCCCGGTGTCCGAATAAGAGCCGCGGCGCCCCGCACTGCCACGCAGGCGAATAGCCCGGCGTGGGAAGTTTTGCCCACAATTGAGAGACTGATGCTGATGGTGATGATCGTGTGATGATGCAGAAGAAGATGATGAGTATGTTGATGATGATGCTGATGCTGTAGCTGATGATGATGCCGATACTGACGATGCAGACGATGCTGCTGATGATGCTGACGATGATGATGCTGCTGCCGATGATGATGATGCTGATGATGATGATGCTGCCGCTGATGATGATGATGATGATGATGATGATGATGATGATGACGATGCTGATGATGCTGATGCTGATGGTGCTGATGCTGCTGCTGCTGATGATGATGATGATGATGATGATGATGATGATGATGACGATGAGGATGGGGCTTCCGGTGATGACGCTGCTGATGATGATTATGATGATTATGTTGTTGATGATGATAACGAGGAGGAGGATGAGGAATGATGATGATGCTGATGCTGATGATGATGACGATGCTGCTGATGATGATGATGATGATGATGATGCTGATGATGCTGCTGCTGATGATGATGATGATGATGATGAGGATGCTGATGATGATGCTGCTGCTGATGATGATGATGATGATGATAATGATGATGATGCTGATGATGATGATGATGATGATGATGATGATGATGCTGTTGTTGTGGATGATGATGATGACGACGAGGAGGAGGATGAGGATGAGGAGGAGGAGGAGGAGGAAGATGAGGGAGGGATGGG